GGAGGCTGAGGCAGGAGAATCACTTGAGCCGAGGAGTCTGAAGCTGCAGTGAGCCAAGATCGTGTCACTGCACTCCAGCCTGGGCAACAGAGTGAGACCCTGTCTCTAAAAAAATAAAATAAAAAATGTCCAGTGGCTCCCATCTGATTTGGTGACAGCCAAAGTCCTACCTATGTGACTTCATCACCTCTGACCTCATCTGCCCCCTTCATGCCTCTGTGTGCTCCCCCCACCCCTGCTGCCCCCTTGGTGCTTCCCCTACCTGCCAGGAGCATACACACAGTTCAATGCCTTTGTACTTGCTCTTCAGTCTGCTCAGATTCCTTTCTCCCAGAAATCCACAAACATCCATCCATCCATCCATCCATCCATCCATCCATCCACCCACCCACCCACGCATCCGCCCATCTTTCCTTCTTTCCTCTCTCCCTCCCTCACTCCCTCCTTTCAGGTATTTGCTCAAATAGCACCTTGGCAACCTAACACAGCCTCCTCCATCCCTCATTCCCTCCTCTGCTCTGTCAGTCATCCACTGGTCACCACCTGACACTACATCCACACTCATCTCTACGTGTGCTCACTGTCTAGAAAGGAAGCTGCAGAAGAACAGGGGTTTTGGCCAGGTGCGGCGGCTCATGCCTGTCATCCCAGCACTTTGGAAGGCCACAGCAGTTGGAGAATGCTTGAGCCCAGGAGTTCAAGACCAGCCCGGGCAACACACCAGTAAGAAGCCATCTCTATAAAAATACAAAAAATTAGTTGGGCGTCGTGGAGCACGCCTGTAGTCCCAGCTACTTGGCAGGCTGAGGTGGGAGGATCGTTTGAGCCCAGGAGTTCGAAGATGCAGTGAGCTGTGATTGCACCACTACACTCCAGCCTGGGCGACAGAGCGAGACTGTCTAAAAAAGAGTAGGGGTTCTGTTTTCTGCCTTGCCACTGCGACCTCAATGGAGCTGGGCACACACTAAGTGCTTTCTGCATAGTGAATATACAAATGGCTAAAGGAAGTGCCCAAGCTTGAGGTTGTCTCTTGGCGGGCAAGTGGTTGCACAGGTGAGCACAGGTGTGTCCCTTCTTCCAGGGAGGAGCTCAGCACGCCCTCCATTTACCAGCGCCATAAACAAGACACACCCCAGAAGCTCACGGCTCTGCCAACAGCCAAGCAACAGAATCCAGGCTCATGCCCAGGTTACTTGCTCTAATTTTCCAGACTTGTGCCATTTCAGTCATTCACTTCCACCCCAGCTCCATGTTTTCATTCATTCATTCACCAAATACTTTTTTCCCCCCCAATGGAGTCTTGCTCTGTTGCCCAAACTGGAGTGCAGTGGCACAATCCTGGCTCACTGCAACCTCTGCCTCCTGGGTTCAAGCGATTCTCCCTGCCTCAGCCTCCCGAGTAGCTGGGATTACAGGTGTGCACTGCCAAGCCCAGCTCATTTTTTGTATTTTTAGTAGAGACACCATGTTGGTCAGGCTGGTCTCGAACTCCTGACCTCAGGTGATCCACCCGCCTCAGCCTCCCAAAGTGCTGGGATTACAGGCATGAGCTACCGCATCCAGCCCCACACCAAACACTTTTGAAGCACCTACTACGTTCCTAATACAAGCTGGTACTTTCTTTCTTTTTTAGAGACAGGGTCTTGCTAACAGCCCAGGCTGAAGTGCAGTGGCGCAATCATTACTCACTGCAGCCTCAACTTCTGGCTAAAGTGATCCTCCTGCCTCAGCCTTTTGCGTAGCTAGGACTACAGGCGTGCGTTACTATGCCCAGCTATTTATTTTGTATTTTTTGGAGAGATGGGGTCTTGCTATGTTGCCCAGGCTGATCTCAAACTCCTGGGCTCAAGTGATCCTCCTGCCTCAGCCTCCCAAAGCACTGAGATTACAGGCATGAGCTACCGCTCCTGGCCTTAAGCAAGTCATTTCACGGGTCACCCTTCCCCTGGCCTGAGTATCCACTTCACTCTTGCCTCCTTGTGTGACCATGGATGGGGCCTGGACACACTGTCCTCCCTCCAGGCTCCCATATCTCCTGGTTGTTCCTCAGGCCCCTCCCTGCCCTAGCCCTGCTTCTCTGGCCACACCATGCTTTGTCTGTGTTCCTGTAAGTGCCAGCCCAGAGCTGGACCTCCCTCCAGCCCTGCCTGGGCCCTCCCTCGGGTGCTTCTGACATTGTTTTCCTGTTGACGCAGCGGCCCAGGTCTGCGTTGGTGGCTTTGGCATCCAGATCCCACTGAGAAGTCACACTTAGCTCATTGTCAAATTAAACCCTCGAAATCTCAACAGCTGGCAAGGCATCTCTCCCCACACCCCTCCACCTCCCACATCAGCAGCCACCCCCAGCCCCAGCCCTTGAGCGACTGGTCCTTTGAGTGCCTGTGAATTCGTCTCAGTCCGGTTCATCTGGTTTATCCGGGCCTGTCTTTTCACCAGCAGGGAGATTCAGTGGACAGAGGGCCGAACCCAAACCCTGCTATTGCCCCTTGGGAAGGGGCTGCCTTCCTGCAGTGCCACCTTACACCGTCCTCGGCCCCTCACCTGGTCCCAGCATCTTCCCAGAGGACATGTCTTCGAGGCTTCCTAAAGCCTAACGTTTCTCCCAATTCTTATGTTGCTGTTTCTTCCCCCTCTGCACCACCCGCACTGGCCCAATTCACCCAGATTTGGTGGCTGGTAGAGCTGGGAGCAGGGGTTGCTCACCCACAGTCTGTGGGATACCTTGGGCTGCCAGACCCTGTTCCCACCATCCGGGGGGTCCCCAGTACTCCTGGGCAGCTGCCTTCTCCCCCGCGCAGCTCCCCAGAGGGAGCTCTGGCTTTATGGGGAACAAGGTCTTGACCACTCCACACCCAACACTCTTTGGATGCGACTCAGGAACTGACGTTTGGAAAAGGCTTGGCATTTTGGAAAGTCCAGGGCGTGGGACAGGCCAGAACACTGGCCTGGGCAGAACCCTCCCAAGGCAGGCAGAGCCGGCTCCTCCCTGGTTCCCCTCCCCCAACCTCCACCTGGCTCACACCTGCCTGGGGCGGGGAGAGACTCAGGGGCAGGTGCAGACAGCCCTTTGCAGCTCTGAGGAGTGAGGAGGCCTGGCTGGGGAGCGTGGCCACATCAAAGGCAGCCGGCTATCCCAGGCTCCTCATTAAGGCCTCCAGAGTCTTGCTCAGCCCCATCCCAATGTGGAAGGCCCAGCCCACATGCAGAGGCTGCCCCAGTCATGGTCACAGGGCACCTCGTCCATGAAGCCACCCTTGACTTCCCAGCCTATTGAGACTGTTTCTTCCTTGGAATTATCCTCCCTTCTTTTTTTTTTTT